ACAAACTCCTTGTTCCCGGCATTTCATTTTCCTTGACCCCAGGCTCCAGCAGACCCCTTACCTCTGGTGCTACTCTGTGGAGAGACTCTGAGGTCTGACAACTTTTTGCAGAGCTCAGAAGCTGTTGAAACTCTCTGTGGCACTGCCTGCCTCCCTGTCCCTCCCCAGTGGGAAAGTCCTGGGACCAGGCAGCGGTGGGAAGCCGGCAGCCAGCACAGTAGAGGGCTGGGCAGGCAGGAGGGGGGAGCTGGAGACAGATCTCATCAAAGGTAGGAGGCCTAGTGGGGATCAGAGAGACAGAGATACACATCTAAATAATTCAGGCACTAATAAAAGCTTCAGGTTGGGTTCTGTTCAAGATGTGAGACAAAGCTGAATTTCAATGTATTTCAGGCTGCCATCAATTCAGAATGCAGTGTTACTTAATAATCCAACACTGACAATCCAATATTATTTTAAAAGTATTCCACATAAAGTTAATGAGGAAAGTGGCTATGCCTGGATTTGTGCTTTTATAGCTTTAGGTTGAAATTCTATCATGAGAAGATTTTGAGAGCTTCAAGTCTGACCTCTACAGGAAGGCTGCTGAAATAGGTACAGTACCTTGGGATCGCAAATTGTACACAGAACTTTTAGAAACTGGAGAAAGGTAATGGATCAGATGCACTACATAACATCATTACCATCATTGCCTCCTGAAGCCATGTTTTAAAAACACAACTCTTAGTAGCATCGTTCCTACAAATGCTTTTTTGCAAAGTACATAGACAGTACAGCAACACGAGAAATAGCATGAACATTTTTACATTCAAAAGTGTGAATGGGTTTTGCTTCTGCTTTTTATTATCCCTCCCCCTTCATTCCCAATCTTCCCTATGATCTACTCTTGCAGAGCTACAGAAACAAGCCTTACTTTGAAACTGATAACATCCATTTGCGTTTTGTAAAACCGATGTTTTTAAACGCCCTGATTGGTGCCACCTTTTTCTAATCAGAACCAACCACTCTAACAAACTACCCTTTGTCCTGGGATCCCATCCCCTCAGTTCCCACCAGCCTACAGCACATGTTGCTATAGCTACCCTGCATGTCTATTTACCACACAAGTGATCAAAGCGAGCAGACAACACACACACACACACACACAAAACCCTCGCCAGGCTTCCTACCGAGCAATGTCCAGCACTAATTAACTGATACACTCCCAGCCTGCAGACTCTGTACACTTGTTTTCTTTATTTTGCATGGTACACATACACAAAAAAGCAGCATTCTCCAAGATGCTCATTCTTCCCCTACAGACAAAACAAACAACAAAACATACCAGGATCAACTTTAAAAGAGAATTTCCTAACACAAGGCTGAGGATTACAACACTTCAGGATAAGAATACAGTTTTTCTACAGAGGAACACATTAAGAATTTTAAAAGGTATGCAAAGGAAAATAGGAAATAAGAAACACATGCTAAGAACCTAAACAGCTGAAAAGAAAGGGGGTGATTTTGAATTTTGCATATGCTTTGCACTGAAATTGTATGCAGCCTTTATTCACTTGGTGAATTATACGCATGCTGAAAGCCATATGACTGTAGTCATGATAAGTCATTGTAATGGTTTTATGTGCCTTAGAAACACAGTTTTTCATTTTTAGGTGGCATGTCAGTTAACAGTTGTTTAGTTGAACCTCCTTGATCAAAGTCAATGGTACTTCAATAGGAAGAGACCAAAATAAAGAGCTGCGACACTCCACGCTTCAGGGATATGTTGTGGTTGAAAGTGAATGAAAAAAAAGTATTCAAATTCATCAAACATTTGATTTTCTGTGAAGTAGACTCAGGAAACTTAAAACAGAGCCCACAGTGCCCTCTCCAGTTTTGCAGCAAACTCAGGGAATCCAGCCATGTAACTGTGTCCAGATACACAAAAACTCTACCACATGAAGGCTGAGCATCTTCCCAGGAGTTTCCGTTGTTTGCAAGTTTCCTTACTTAGGATATTTATTTTTATATATATATAAGTAATAAACTGAACTGAGTACTCTGCAAAGCAAAAGAAGTGTTACCTGCAAAAGACTTTTTTTCTTGTCTGTTATTTTTTGTTTTGTTTTGCAACCATGTTAGATACCTTTAAAAATTGCACTTCTGCTTCCTAACACTAGTCTTACAACACGTTGGTACACACAAATGGATATATTTCCTGTGGATGCTTAAACTGTTACGGGAACATGCTGACAGGTATATTTTCCCTTATAGGATAGAAATTTTCCTATTTTGGTTACTGGAGCTTATTTGTAAGGTCGTTCTGGGAGACATTAAGAAGACCCCTCTTGCTGAGGTGTTCAATTATCACCTAAAAATGACTGCTTCTTTATAATGTCTCATTCACAAATCTCAACGCAACATTTGCACCAACTCCTGTCACCTGTTAGAGACTATTGGACTGGCAGTAGTAAGGTAGTAAGGTGGGCTGAATCTTTTCAGCTCAACAGGCTGTATATTACATTTCTACAGTAATTACTCCACTTCTGCTGGGGAAATTAGTGCATTTGTCTTGCTATATGCTGTTATTGTTTAGGACCTGTGGGTTGCCTTTGGGTCAGATCATCAGCAGCACAGTACATGGTTTTATTCCAACAGCTGCAATACACTGCCTGCTTGATGCTTAACTCAGCTACACCAAATTAAGGTATAGTCCCACCAAGAGCCTCTGAAAGTGGGAGCACTCACTCCCAGAGCCTGAGAAAAGGAAGGAGTTAACCCTCCCCTTCATTGCCTTATAACCAGCTGGTGTAAGGATAAGGAAGGGAGCATGAGGGAAGGGCAGGGAAAGCAGCAGGACAGGTAGGGAGAGAGGTTTGTAAGGTGAAGTAGGTAAAAAAGAGCTCTCTGTTGCTCTGAATAGACGGGCCACGGAAAAGTCGTCCTCTACATATTCGTCTTTCCTATAACAATTTCCAACTAGAAGCAGGAGTGAAGGCTCCAGCTGCACATGACTTGCCTGTTTCCAAGTGTCTGCTGTAATGGATTTCCTAAACGTTTTATACGGTTAGTTCATAGTCCATCACAATCTTCAGTTCCCACTAAAACAAGAGTTCTGCTGCCAGGGGCTGCTGCACACAGTATCTCAGCACCCCCAGCTCTCTGGATTTTGCCCCTTGGGCCCTAGAGGCGTCCACAGACTTTTCCTGCCAAACTGAAAATATTTGTGCACAGCAAACCAACCGAACGCAGAGAAATACTCTCAAACTGTTCCCTTGGCACGGGAGAAAGAAACCGCACTCACAGGCAGGTGTTTAAACAAACTCTGGCCGCGCCCCAGCCGGGTGCTCCCCACCCCATCTCGCTCCCCTCGGAAGAGGCACGGGGGCCCCCTCGGCAGCGCGTCCCCCTCCCTGCGCTCCTGCGGGAGAGGGAGGAGAGGCAAGCACCTACCGGGACGGGACAGGCCCGGCAAGATAGAGCCCGGCCCTGTTGCCTGCACTCTTTCAGGAGGAGTCTCTCCACCACCACCACCCCCCACCCCCCCGCTCCTCCTCTCTTGGAGGGGAAGGGAGGGTATGTGTCTGCCTTAGCATTTCCACCCTCTCTATTCCGACTTACTTGTTTTGCTTTTTTAACCCACCATCTATGAATCTTCATTACCCATGAAGCCCTATTCTTTAGGTAGAAATATTTCAGGAGAGTAAAGAGCACGTTTCACAGAGCACTTTATTATTACCATCCTGTAACATTTCTGCTTCTTTCACATTCCTCATTGGCAACCCCCTGTGCCAAAGTACCCTCTTGTGGTGATAATGATTTCTGATGACTACGTGCATCCAGCTGACCAACTTGAGTATATAAAATGCCCTTCATTGTGCTTTGCAAGGACAAGAATTCCCCTCTCTCTTTAAAGAGCTATAAAAGGTGGTTGTTTGGCTAGTGGAAGCAAGAAATACCTTTCCTCTTCCTATCACCTACGTTCTCTCTTTCTTCACCCTTCCCCACCTCCTATAACTTAGAGAAAACTGGTGTAAGGAAGCTGGAATTTCCCACCATGGGTTCAGAAAGTGAGTGGAAAACAAATGCTCCATTTGCACTACAGGTGCAAAATCCTCACACATGCATTCCCTGGACATGTACTATAAAAGTCCCACTGAGAACTGAATGAATAACACCCACACAGAAAAGAACCTAGAAAACTTTTCTCATTTCCTCATATTTACCCATTACCTCCCTAGAAAATATATTAAGAGCAAGTTTCAGAAGTGTATTGGCAAGGGTTTTTAAACTGGGACAGATCCTTGATTCGATCTTAAGGTAAAGCCAGTTTTTCTTGCTCCCACAAGGCTCTTCTAAGCATACATTGTTGCTGTAAAACTATGAACAACGAGAATCAAAAACATTTTGTCACTGTGCCTTTTAACTGCAAGAACAAGAATAAAAGCTCCTTTTGTCCCCTCAGGTGAATAGAAGTCTTTAAAAAAATCTCATTTGAATAATCTTAGAAAAAGAATCCCTAGAAAACCCATCCTAAAGTACTTTTGTGAAGCTGTAAGACAGCTTGAAACTACTACATTTTAAAACAATCAGAAGATTAAAGCACTGGCAGGCAAGGAACTCATGCAGTGCTCTTTAGTAAATTGTCCCTGGGCTGAATTATTGGCATATTTAGGATTATAACACAACAAGTTCTTTCCTTTCACATGTCACAAACAGGCGCTGCGAGGCAGCCTACACAATGCACTTAAACCATGGCAAACTGGAATTGATTTACATACCTCGCAAACCGCTTCCATGCTCCCTACAAGCCCAAAATGCACCATGACCTGCATGGCATCCCTGCCTACTGGGAGGATTAAGAAAAAAAAAAAATCTGTTTTTTTTAATTTTTTTTTTTTCCACACTGGAAAGTCACTTTAGACAATTCTGAGAAAAAACGAGGAGTTCAAAAAAAGCAGCCAAGCTCCGCAGAGGCTGGAACCGGTAGTACCCGGGCCCGGCGGGAAGAGGCTCCTTACCTGCCTCATGGTGAGATTCCCATCATCCATCCAGCCGGCAAGGGGCTGCTCACACCGCGCTGCTGTCGGCAGGGCAGAAATCCATCAAGTTTCCCACCGTAATCAAGTTTTCCTCCCTCCTCTTCCCTGTCTATTATTTTTTCCCCCTTTTTATTCTTTGCTGGGGGGAGTCTTACGGCAATGTCAAGTTTCCCAACCTTCTTTCCCCAGCCTATGAAAAGTCGGGAGCGGGGAGGCAACTGTCCGCCTGGCTCTGATTTCAAACCGTAGCCCAGGGATGGAGTAGTTGGCTGAGCTGGGCCATGGAATAGCCTCGCCAATCAGAAGGAAGGGGAGGGAGGCAGAGCACATAAAGGCTGCTGCCTACACGAGGATTAGGAAAGCTTTCAAGGATTTAAAAGACTGAAAGCAGCTGGAAACAGTGTCTAGGGCTAGAAAGAGGGAAGTCAATTTGCGGTATAAGAGATTATTCCCTTTCTCATGTAACTGCTCTGGGTCTGCTCGAAGCTTAGTGGACTGCCAGGACTTCAGCAAGGATATGTAAATGTCCAGTTGAAATTACTGCAACGTTAGAGTGATGCAGGAACGCTCGACAGCCGCCCGGTAAAGTGACAATATCCCGTCCGTGCTGGAGCCACATGCGCTACCGAAGCACCGATTTCCTCATGTCAGATTAAAAAGTAAATTGCTTAATGACATCAGCAGGAAGTAAAATGCAGTCTGCAATTTACACTATGGCCAAGTGCCTGTCTGCCGGAAAGAACAGAGGTGTATGTGGGAATCCGTAGCTTTGGAAATGTTTTGTTCCAAAGCTTTATTTGTTTTGGTGGCAAATGTTTAATCATCCCTAACCTCAGTGCGTTTTCTGCTTTCACTTCTTTATGTAGGGTGATTTCCTCACTTCTGAAGCTTAGTTCCTCGTGTAAGATAACACAGGACCCCAAATGCAACTTTTTTTTTCTTTTAACGAGATCAGCTACTATCTGCTGCCCCTCAGTGGCTTTCATTAAAATAAACAAACAAAAGGCCAAACCAAAAATCTCAAATCTGAAGTGCCATTGCTGTTTGAGTTACACCTAGAATTATAGAATGGTTTGGATTGGATGGGACCTCGAGATCTAATTCCAAATTTCCTGACTTAAAAAAAAAAAAATGCAGAGAAATACAAACCTGCAAATTCATACCTCCCAACCTTCTCCTAAGTGAAGAAGGCCTTTAATTTAATATCAGTTCAGAAGCCTGTTAGTCTCTCTATTCTGCTCTTAACAGAAATCTGTCTTTTGATCTCAGGAGACTATCAGGCAGATCTGATGCCTGAAGAAAAGTCTCAATATCATGAATTTGCTTCTGCAAGGGTTTTATCTACCAATGCAAAAATTAGTCACTATCCAGAAAAACTCTTATCAGTACAAGAAATCTTATTGAATTGAGCTACAGAAAAAAAACCTACAATGATATGCTGCCAGGATTTTAATTAAAGGCTTCCAAAAATATATTTCCATTTAACTTTCGATAAGCTCCAACACTGGGTATGTCACAGGGAAAGGAAGAAAAGATCTGTAAATTTTTTTTTCCCATTTAAAGACAATAATAATTTTTCTCACAAGTGCAGCAAAGAAAGGAGTTTACATAATACTAGTACTGTCTAGCTGAGAAGCACAGCATGGATGGAGGGAAAACTTGATTTGAACCACTACTGCAATTTATCCAGGTTCAACTGTGCTCTTGCTGGTCCATGTCCTCAGCTACTTTAATGTACAACACCAACCATCTCCAGGGATCAACACAGCACAATGCATAAGGGTAAGACCAACCATCCTCTCTAGCCAATGTGGAGACAACTTAGTGATGCTCCAGTGATGGTCTAGTCCTGCACACTTGCACAACAGCTTGAAGCAGCTGCAATGCACAGGGAGAGGTGCATTAAGAGCACTTAACAGGAATGCTCATCCTCTGTTCCCCAAGTATAGCTCAGTGGACACGTGTCACTTGAAATGAGTCTGTGGTATGTGAAGACCTTTTACTGAGGTCAAATCTGGGAGAATCCTCTCCAGGATGCATTGAAAGGAAACATAAAAATGCTTTTCCAAAGTAATTACAACCTTAGGGCTAAATTTCCCTGGTGAAAGGGATGTAACAAAAAGTGCAAAACTTACAAAATTAGAAAGGATTATAAAGGACTCACCCCAAACCCCTGTATTTGATTTCAGGGCTTTAAGAAGGGGATTCTGAGGACAGTTTTAGAGTTTCACATGGGAACAAGGCAAAAGATCCTACAAGAACTCAAAACATTATAAAGACAAAGCAGTTGCATAACTTTTCTGGAAATGCATGAACAGCATGCACTCCTTATAGGGTGAGATGAATACTGCATTTTTCTGAAAGTTCAGCAGAATGTGGCATAAAAATATGAGTTAGTTCTATAGGATGGAAATTAATTTCTAGAATTAGAAAAAAAATAAAATAATTTTAAAAAATTGTCAATGATCTATGTTCAGGGTGAGGTGCAGACTAATTTTTTTTTTAACCCGGTGTTGCAGACGGCCCCTATTCTATTTACACCATTCACTTTCTTCCTTTAAGGACTGTGATCAACCCACAGAGCAGCAGTACTATCACATGCAGTGCATTCAGAAAACTAGGTTCTGCACTTCACTTCTTGGAGTCTTCTGAGTGTCAGGAGAGGAAAAGAGAGGGTCTATATCTGAAGTGGTTTTGAAGGTAGTTGGCACTGAAACTCACAATGGTATAGCTAGATGCAAGGAGGAGGAACTGCTATTTGGGGTGCAAGAAAAGACATGCTGGTTTTTACATCTTCCTCTGAATATCCAGTTTCCCATCTACAGCCCAAGTGTATGTGTGTGCATGAGAAAGTCATAAGGTCTTTGAGGAAGCGAAAGAAGATTCTGTCCCTGAAGGAGGAAACTTTTAGAGTCTATCCAGTGGGAACCACTGGACACAAGGGCAGCCAGAGGATGTGGTGCCAGGTGTAAGTTCAGACATCTCTGGGAGCAGAGATGTATGTATAAGCCAGACCAAAGTCATGGTTAGGAGTTTGATAGTTTTAGAGGATTCTTATTGAATTAATTCAAGTTAAAAGACGAATGGCCATAAGTAGACCAAACCATTGACAGTTTTATTTTCTGTGAATGCTGGTTATCAGTAGTAATGGTCACATTCCCCTTATCAAACCTCACTTTAACCTGCCCTCAGAGATATGAGTGACACCAGCAGACACAGAAATACTAAAGCAGCTCTGACTTTGCTGCTCACTATGGGTGTCTGCCACAGTCCTTGTCATACACCAAACACCTCCCAGGCAAAAAGGGCAGACACACAAGCCCTCCATCTATCCTCATGTCTCAAGTTGCCCCATTCACTAAAGCAGAAACAAGGAAGGATAACTTTAGTTGGGCTTCCATTATTCAGCAAGAACTTCCCTGTGGTTCATGCTGTTCTGCTCCTGACCTGGCAAAAGTAGTAAACAGGTACTTGCAAAAACTCAGGGTATTTGGGTGCTAACTCAGAATCACACTTTCTATTGCTGCTTAAGACAAAAGTGTAATATTACCATGTGTCCTGAGTCAGCTTATGTAGTGCAAAAGCTTGGAGAATTCCTATAAATGTGCAGCAAAACCCACCACCATGTAATATCAGTTACAAATTGTACATTACGTACAAATATCACATATCTTTTACAGCGGCATAGTAAACTCAGTGTTGGGTGTTCTTTGTCAGTACATCAACTATTTCTGGAAAAGGTCAGCTAAATTTAGTGGTTTAAGGCTTAGTCCAGTGCTCATCAATGCAGTGGACAAATTTAAAGATTTAAGTTGTGACAAGGCAAGGACAACAATCTTGATACCAAAAAATTAGCACAGTTTCAGAATCTGAAACTTTTGCTTCTGATTTGTTAACTAAACCTTCCTTAACTACCTTCATTGTCTCTAATAAATTACCAAATACAGGAACTGTTTTGAACTGCTGGGACAAATGCAAAACCTCCTAATGTGGAATTACTCACTTGCTGGAGTTTTTTTGGTGTAATACAAATTTTATGTGGTCCAGACCAAGGTAGGTCTGCACCAGCTACAGGGGAAGCACAGAACAGGAAGTGGGGAAAGGATTTTCTCTCATTTAGCTGAATTCCAGCTGCCATGGAAATCCTCCTGGGTCCAGAGAATTTAATATACACTATAGACAGAAGAACCACTCTGCCTCTTTACGAAGCTGTGCCAAACAGAGACAGACCAGACCCCATGATCTGATTATATAGTAGGAGTGAGAGTTGCAGAAGGGAAAAATATGACCTAGTACATAGGTTAGAAAGAAACAACCCTACCTTGAAAATCAGCATCTTGAGGTATGAAGTCAATCACAAAAAGGTTACCTTTAATTTGCAATATAGACAACTGATAAAGATATGCTTTTCAAAATAAGACAAGCAGCTAGACACTGCACTTTTAGAGGAAAAGGTAATATTCACACTCAAACTACTGGCGTTGAAATTAATTTCTAGTGGTTTTTATAGTCCCTCCCTTGGCAGTTTTAAATTGGCACCTGCAGGAAGAGGAGGATGTCCAGAATACAAAATACTCCTTAATAATCCCATATAACACTAGAATACTTAACTCAAGGCAACACTGAAATGTAAAAATAATCTCCAGAAGAACTGGCACAAAATATGAGGTTGCAAGGTGATGACAAATTTCTGAGAAGACAGTGTTAAAAAAAAAAAAAAGAAAAAATTCTGAAATACTCTGAATATGAAAAACTGTTTTCAAGATGTGAAAGTATCACACAATTATTTCAAAATATATAGTTAATATTTGCAAATGTAAGAATGTACAGAGCTGGATCTCACAGGGCTGTACTTAACTGCTTCTATCAATATCACTGCAATGAGTGCAATGACGATAAACTGACTAGCCTGGCAGAATGTCTGAGTCATGGCATTTAAACACATTTTCTAACAGCAGTTTAAAAATAAGACCAGCAACGTCAGACATCCTTACATTTGCACATACACACTGAAAGCCTCAGTGCACAGAGATGTCCTTAAGGCAGACATTTGGGGAATTCATCGCCTTTTGAGAAAGATTACTCAGCCTCTTGGCAGAGTATCAGTAAAACAGGCA